AAAGTTACAGGATGCAAATCAAACTTTGATGGGGGCTTGTGCTATAACGGCAAACTATGTCAATGCATACTCCCCTAAGGCAACTCGCAAAACAGGGGATGGAGTATCCCTCCTAGGGAATTTGTGAAGCTGAATGTTGATGCCGCTTTTGATCATGATCTTCTTCAAGGTGCAGCTGGGGCGGTCCTGAGAGATGATAAGGGAAGGTTCATTGTTGGAGGAAACTGGAGGATTTGACTGGTGTGATGATGTATTAACAGCAGAAGTTATGGCTCTTAAATTTGGTTTATTCCTAGCACAGAAGGCGGGCTGCAATCACCTTGTTGTAAACTCAGATAACATGGAAGTGATTGACATAATGAAGAATGGAGGACACTTGGCGGGAGCGACAATTGCAGTTTTTGATGATTGTTACTTTTTGGCTTGTGATTTTCCTATAGTTAAATTTGAACACTGTAATTGGGAAGCAAATAGAGTGGCCCATGAAATAGCGAGGTTAGAAAAATTTTCAGCCACTAGGGATTAGTTTGAGGAGCCTATGAAGGATATTGTACCTCTTCTTATGGATGATGTAACAATTATTTCTAATTAATAAAGTTGAAGTTTTATTTCAAAAAAAGAACTTCCAAGATTATTTTGAGAATATACTGATACACGATGCGTCTACCAAACTACAAAAGTCCAATTCATAATTTTCTTCAGCATTTGTTATTCATGAAAAAAAATCGGAGGCACAAAACCCACGAGTGGGGTGGAAGTTTTGTGGTGGTATTATAAGAAGGTAGTTGTCAGGTTAAGGATATCTCCAACACCGACCCTCAAATCGCCCGCATACGTCCGGACCGCGCGGTTTGGGCGTGTTTTTCCATTCAACACTCTCGACGCCAATGGACACCTTCTTCGACCCCGTGACCCCATCTGACTGACGCCGTTGCGACGGCGGAAAGCTCGGCACCGCAAGCGCGCCCCCGTCGACGGAGCAGCAACAGTGCAGGGCTGGCGTCGTGATCGACATGCTCGCCGCCAAGAAGTCGCTCTCACCGGGTTGCGCCAGCGCGAGAGCAATGCATGACAAAATGATAGGATCTAAGGAGTAAGGATCGACCGATGGCAATGGAGCCGCTCCCGCTGGGCTTCGGCGATGCCATGGACACCACCCTCTTCTCCATCCTCTGGTCCTTCCAGGAGGAGTTCCATCCCCAAAAGGTGAATTGCCGCCACAACACTTCGACCAGCTCATCACCGCCGCCGACCCACGACGCCAGGCCACCGCTCCTCAGCCTGGCCAGCCAGCTCTTCGACAGCTTCGAGAGGCCGCAGGCCGCCATTACCACCATGGATGACGCTGACATAGGATCATGCTACGCTGATACAAAGCCCATCTGGCAGGAAGTCGTGACAAGAATGGCCTCCCTCGCCCGTGCGCGCTTCCCGCCCAAAACATGCAGCGCCGCTCCGGAGCGTCAATGTTGCATTCATGCCTAGCCAGAGCGGACACGACCTCTTACTGATGCCGGCATTGAAGCAGCGCGTCGGCCGAGAGAGCGTCGCCTGCGCCGCTTCCTAGTGCAGGCGGCTGCTCCGCGTTCAAACGACACGCCATCGATCCGTCTGCCTACATTAATGATATGTCGTTGCCGAGGAACCTAATCCGGCACCACCCATCCGTCCATCTGTCGCACACCATTAACCAGACTGCCACGACCCATTGCCATCTGCATGCTATATAAACTCCAGCCCCGGCCATAGTCGCAGTCATCCTCCTCTGGTTCCTTTCTCCTCATGCTCCGAAGCCCTTTGGGCAACCTCTTGTCCGAGCAGAAGAGGGAGATGGCGGCAATTTTTGCCGGACGGTAGACTGGCAGGCAGGCGGAGGCCGCCGCCGTCCCAATGGGCGTCGCGGACAGCGAGGAAGACTAATGCATGGTAGATCGCTACCGCTCGGGCCCCGTCGCCACCACAGAATCCGGTTTCTTACGGCCACTGCAACCACCACCGCCCGCCCTGCCGCCAGATCGACTGCCCCTCTATTCCTCCGGTCGCCACTACCGCCTCAACCCAATGCAACCGCGCGCAGCCGCCTACCCAGCTACCCTCGCGTGCTTCCACTGCTAACAAATGCAGCCGAATCCACCACTGGCGCACTTCGTCGTTGGAACCACCGGATACCGTCCTACCACCCCCACCACCTCACGTGAACGGGTCGCCACCCCCGTTGCCGACGATGTCGCCCCACGCCGAGCAAAAGAGAAAGACGGCTTCCGTTGCGTCCGGCTGCGGCAATCCAGCCACTATGTCGCCGAGCTGACATGCGACGAGCAACATCATTGGCTTGATCGCCGAGGTGGAGGTGTTCATCGGTCCCCAAGTGGAGATTATGTCCCATGCTGAGAAAAGGGAAACTTGTGTCATCCTAGAGCAACACGACATACTACGTGAGAGCGATGAATCAGCTATGGCCAGGTTCGTCGCAGAAAATCCAGACCTCAACAAGCGCAGCACAACAAGGTGGTGAAGACAGTGGTGAAGGAGGACGAGGTTGGCCCCTCGTCAAGGGTGATCAAGGTCTGAGTCGGGTGACAAGGTTCAGCCCAACAAGGATGCCTGACATTGACTATGACAATCTTAGTGAAGAGGAGTAGTTGTGTAGTTTAAGTTTAAGTTTGTAGCATAACTATGTTAAGCTTGCATGTTTAAAACTTTGAATGTTTGGATCAAATTTGCAAAATCAAGTTTGTTTGGTTCATTTGTGTTGTTGGAGTAGTGGTGCCCTTTTTTAGGGCTGCTGTGGAGAAGAAGAAAAAGTGGTTGCCTTAAACAGTTTTTCCAGTACCCTATCTTAGGGCAGCTGTTGAAGATGCTCTTAACAACCACTGTACATGTCCTCCTTGCAGTCAGTACTTTTCCAGATTGTGGCGCGCCCAGCGTTCCGGATATGAAAACAAAATTGTAGAAGTAAAACGGAGAAAACCATAAAAGAAAATGAATAGAGGTTATCACAATACCACATGGAATTAGCCCGTGAATGGAACCACAAGTCCAATTTTGCAATTCCAGGGCCAACACTGACATGTAAACAGGACATTATTGATTATATTTACTGAAAATTAAGCAAAATAATATCATTCATTTTTTCTCGATGAAAAACAGTATCTTTCAAGTTGAAATATTCTAAGAAACAGGCAATGGGTAGGACAACAATGACAAAAGGAAATGAAATGGACGTCCTCAACGGACCATCAACCACCCATACAAGGATTTCTACATAACAGCTGACCATTGCAGATTTCATTTTGAGAGCACAATTCACTACCTGTTGCCGCTCGCTCGCCAGACAATACATTTGTAAAACTTAAGAAAAAGAAATATCTCAAATACGGTGAGGGTGAGGCAAACCCAAAATACAATAAGACATGCTTCGCTTGACAGAGTCAGGACACTTTTTTTTTTTAGGAATCAGACTCTAGATTATAGACTCAGGAAAATCAGGTTTATCAACAAAATCTGATCTACATAAGAGGAAACCACAAGCTATCAACGAAGCGCACATCATACCATGAGAAGGTCGTACTGTAACAGAGTTGGCGTCGGTCAATAACTCAGCTGAATCCCTGACATTCACTGAATTGGCGCCGGTCATCTATCAACAGGCCCTGCTAACATCACAATCAAACAAGGAAACTGTCACCAACCACCAACCTACCCACATCACCATGCAGCATAGTTTGGATGAACGCTAATGGGGAAATCAATTTGACAGTGGACATTCATACAATTTGCTCCAAGGTTCATGGATATAACTTCCAGGTAGATACTTTGGTTACCTGTAAAACAGACTCAAGTACTATTGGGGCCTCCGATACAGTTTACGGTTGAAAAAACAATTCAACCAAAGGCATTAGCTAACAAATGTACAAACACGCACAGATATCACTAGCTCTGAACGAAAATTACTATACATTATCATGCAGTGATCCTGAAGATAATGCCCAATGGATACCAGAACGAAATACATACTTATAGAGCCTGTCTGAATATTATGTGCGGATGGCGAACAAAAACTATTCATAACAGAAACAATTCCTAAGGCCATCCTTGACATAACATGGCAGAGATAGCATGAAAATAAAACTACTCCCAGCCAACAAAAACTATGCATGGGTCCGGAAAATTTGGGTATCTAGCTTAGAAGCATAATCAGATATATTAGATCACATAATTAAATTGTTCGCAACAACGAGTTAACAAATTTAATAATATCATTGTCTAACTATTACTCCTTCCGTCTCATTGTTGTCTAACTATTATTCAGTTTTTGCATCAGATGGTCCCAGAAAAAGCATCATCAGCCAGTAAGCCAACCAAGAATATAAGAGAAAAATAAAGGACAAAACTGATACAAAGTACTACTCCTAGAAAACAGTGACCTGCTTTCACAACAGTTAATATTTTATAAACAAAGCTACTGCATGAAGAATGAAGACATTCAGCTAAGTTGAAGGACTAGAGGAAGCAACTAACAGACTGTCAAAACTGCAACCTCAGCAGTGATCAACATGTTGTGGCCATCAACAACTCCAGAATTATTCCCGCAAAAAAAAGTTAAACAAATTTTGGGACTTCGTATCATCTTCATGGCCATATTGAGAACCCTTTTTCATGGAAAGATAAATTGATTCAGGATTGCATTGAAAGCTGCAATTGCCACTGAAAACATAAAGATATACAGTGTGCAGACATACTCTTAATTAATACTTGAAAGCATTTGCAGAATGCCCTGATGTCACACTCTCTTAGTTATCAACATATTGGGGTTCAGAAATCAAGTTATCAGTAATGTCAAGCATTGGACACAACAAAACCAAAATTTAGTCATGAAAAGAACACCTAATCATGAATTACCAGCTTAATACGATGAGTGGAAATTTTGTTGTTGCACATGCAGCTACCCATTTTCATAGCCTGTTCTTGGTTCATGTAAATCTGAATCTAGCAGGCACCTCCCCTATGCAAGTGGCTGCATAGTCTTCAGCAATGTGTGGTGCAGCTTGCTCGTGGGGGCATATGAACTTCTCCACAAATACCTTCTCGCTGGCCACCACCATATTATAGTAGTCTCTGCCGTGACTTAACAATCCATTTTCCTTAAGAAACCTCATAACATAGTACCGGGGCCTGAGCCGGCCCTCCAGGCTGTAAGTGAGCATAGCGGGTCGATGAGCAATGTACGCCGGTTCCAAGCCCACCTTAGAGCGGAGGAACTCGGACTTGAGCTGCAGCACGTCCTTTGACCGTCTCAGCAGAGTCGGCAACTTGGACACAGCAATGCCAACATCGGCATCCGACCACCTCAATGTCTTCTTCAACTGTTCCACTTTGGCAGTAATCTTCTCCTCGCTAAGAAATGCGACAGCATGCAGTGCCTGCCTAAACATCCCAGAGCCACAGGGCACACCTATACGTTCGGCGCATGCGACCATCCCCAGGACGCGCTCTGGCTTGCCTATGATGATCCTCGGCATTCGGATGAACAGCTTGGCAATATCACAAGCACCTATCCCGCACTCCCGCAGGAAGGCTACATTGGGCTTGACCACCCTCTCGAGGTGGGAGCCGAGGAAGCAGGAGCCGTGTTTGAGCGGCCGGAGCAAGTTGTCGATGGAGCCCAAGAGCGGCAGGTAGTACTCCAGCTTGGAGACGACAGATCTATGGCGGAATTGTCCCGGGGCGAGCGAGACGAGGCGCGCGATATCAGAAGGGGATAGACCGAACCCGGTGAGACCGACGACGACGGGGGACAGGGTTGTCTCCACGCCGGCGCAGAGGAACCGCGGGTCCTTGGCGACGAGGGCCGCCACATCGGCGCCGGTGAGGCCGAGGCCGGCGAGGAAGGCGAGGACGGCGTCGGGGTTGGCGGGGGACTTGAGGTGGGACAGCTTGGTGGAGGCCTTGAGTGCCTGGGCACGGGTGAGGCCGCAGGTCTCGACGAGGTAGTCGTCGACGGCGAAGCTAGGGTTTGGCGAAATGCGGGGGGCAGCGGCGGCGGAGAGGAGGCGGTGGAGAGAGAGGAGTGGGGTGGTGGAAGGAGAGGGCGCGGCGGAGATGAGACGAGAGAGGACGCGCTGCCGGACGTGGAGCATGGCGCCGCGACGGCGGAGCAGCGGCGGCGGCGGCGGCGGCCGCGGGCGATGGGGAATTCGAGTGGCGTTGGGTGCGGCGTGTCTGTCTCCGGTGGTGTGGTGGACGGACAGGGATTGTCAAATGAACTCAACTTGGCTGGTGTGCTGGTCTAGTTACCATCCAATCCCTGCCATCCAAACAACATTCAACGGCCCATTTCCATCCACTCGCTGCCCATGTCAAAGCAGCGTCCATCAGAACCCATATAGTATTAACTTCATCAAAGAAGAAACCCAAATAACTTCGAATATTATTTTGACAAATATATTGATACATGATGCATCTACCAAACTACAAAAAGCCAATTCATAATTTGTTCAACATTTGTTCTTCATGACAAAAAATAAATAATTAAACGGAGGTTTGTGCATGTCGATTGCTTGCCTCCAGATGGGGAAGCCAAATAAGGGGCAAACCAAAGAAGGTCGGCAAAGGCAAGAGTGGTGACATATGCAAGGCGTAGGTGGCTGCTTGATGGATGATATCCGTCTCTCGACTCGTCCTCTTGGACTGGGTTGTAGTTGTGGTTTGGGAGGAGCCCGATGTCTTGTGTCGAGGTGTTCTCGTCGGGTCACTTGCGTGGTAGCCGTGTCGGGGTTGGTGTTGTTGTGCACTCGAACAGTTTGGCGGGCCGCCTGTGCGGTTGTGGGGTTTCATGCCATGTGAGTAGTTCGTGTGTGATCTATTTGTAATGGTTTTCGTCCGGGTCTTTTCATAATTAACAAATGTTGAAACATTATGAATTGGATTTTTGTAGTTTGGTAGATGGATCGTGTACTAATATATTGGCGCCTGCATGCGTGGCTTAGAAATAGGCGTTTTCGTTGCTTTGGAAAAGTCCATCGGGCACCAAGATGCAAGGATCCATCTGGTGTAACCGATGCTTCCGCTCGAGACACCGTGCACAGGATGGGTGCAAGCCAGTACCCCCGCTGCATGCTCCATGTTCTGCTCGGCCGCTGGCTCATTCTTAGGCTTCGATTGTTGAGCCTCCACCAACATATGAGATCCATGAGGCACTGTCCAACATAAAGACTCTTTGTCAGGATTCATTGCCTTCCTTGTTGATTGCTTCGGCTACCATCCTGAAGGATGTGATGCTCCAGTATGCTCTTGCAGTGGACGTGGAGCTGCTGGTCTCTGATCTTCGCTACATGACTTCCTCCCAAACGGGTCGCGCCGAAGCGATGGATATTGGTTATTTAGAAATAGCCGGAACAACCGCTAGGCCACCTCCCGAGCATGCTGCCAAAACCGAGGGAAAATCACACCTCGGGCGATAGTTGGACCGGTACTTGTGTTGGGGAACATAGTAATTTCAAAAAAATTCCTACGCACACGCAAGATCATGGTGATGCATAGCAACGAGAGGGGAGAGTGTTGTCCACGTACCCTCGTAGACCGTAAGCGGAAGCGTTATGACAACACGGTTGATGTAGTCGTACGTCTTCATGATCCGACCGATCCAAGCACCGAACGTATGGCACCTCCGAGTTCAGCACACGTTCAGCTCGATGACGATCCCCGAACTCCGATCCAGCAGGGTGTCGGGGATGAGTTCCATCAGCACGACGGCGTGGTGACGATGATGATGTTCTACCGACACAGGGCTTCGCCTAAGCACTGCAACGATATGACCGAGGTGGAATATGGTGGAGGGGGGCACCGCACACGGCTAAGGAACGATCACGAAGATCAACTTGTGTGTCATGGGGTGCCTCCCTGCCCCCGTATATAAAGGAGCAAGGGGGAGGGGGCGGCCGGCCGAGGGAGGGCGCGCCAGGGAGGAGTCCTACTCCCACCGGGAGTAGGACTCCCTCCTTTCCTAGTCCAACTAGGAGAGGGGAAGGAAGGGAAGTAGAAGGAGAAGGAAGGAGAGGGAGGAAAAGGAGGAAAGGGGGGCGGCCCCCTAGTCCAATTCGGTTTGGGCTAGGGGGGCCACGCGCCCTGCCTCCTCTCTTCCACCACTTGGCCCATGAGGCCCATTGCTTCTTCCTCGTATTCCCGTAACTCCCAGGTACCCCCGAAAATACCCGAATCACTCGGAACCTTTCCGAACTCCGAATATAGTCGTCCAATATATCGATCTTTACGTTTCGACCATTTTGAGACTCCTTGTCATGTCCCCGATCTCATCCGGGACTCCGAACTCCTTCGGTACATCAAAACTCATAAACTCATAATATAACTGTCATCGAAACCTTAAGCGTGCGGACCCTACGAGTTCGAGAACTATGTAGACATGACCGAGACACGTCTCCGGTCAATAACCAATAGCGGAACCTGGATGCTCATATTGGCTCCCACATATTCTTCGAAGATCTTTATCGGTCAGACCGCATAACAACATACGTTGTTCCCTTTGTCATCGGTATGTTACTTGCCCGAGATTCGATCGTCAGTATCCAATACCTAGTTCAATCTCGTTACCGGCAAGTCTCTTTACTCGTTACGTAACGCATCATTCCGTAACTAACTCATTAGCTACATTGCTTGCAAGGCTTATAGTGATGTGCATTACCGAGAGGGCCCAGAGATACCTCTCCGACAATCAGAGTGACAAATCCTAATCTCGAAATACACCAACCCAACATGTACCTTTGGAGACACCTGTAAGCTCCTTTATAATCACCCAGTTACGTTGTGACGTTTGGTAGCACACAAAGTGTTCCTCCGGTAAACGGGAGTTGCATAATCTCATAGTCATAGGAACATGTATAAGTCATGAAGAAAGCAATATCAACATACTAAACGATCAAGTGCTAAGCTAACGGAATGGGTCAAGTCAATCACATCATTCTTCTAATGATGTGATCCCGTTAATCAAATGACAACTCATGTCTATGGTTAGGAAACTTAACCATCTTTGATTAACGAGCTAGTCAAGTAGAGGCATACTAGTGACACTATGTTTGTCTATGTATTCACACATGTATTATGTTTCCGGTTAATACAATTCTAGCATGAATAATAAACATTTATCATGAAATAAGGAAATAAATAATAACTTTATTATTGCCTCTAGGGCATATTTCCTTCAACTTGGTCCCATAGTACCGCTCAATGAGGGAGCGGGATAACTGCAAAAGTACGTGGTACAACCGCCTCGCCAGGTAAACGGGTAAGACCAAAACAACCATTACTTTTGCAAATGAACTCTGATTTTGATGAACTGAAGCTTGATAGACACCCAAAGAGTACTAAGGTATGATCATGTTTTGCTTGTGAGAGAAGTTTAGTCAACGGGTCTGTCATATTCAGAGCCGTATGTATTTTGCAAATATTCTATGTCCATAATGCTCTGCACGGAGCTACTCTAGCTGATTGCTCCCACTTTCAATATGTATCCAGATTGAGACTTAGAGTCATCTGGATTGGTGTAAAAGCTTGCATCGTTGTAACTTTTTACGACGGGCTCTTTTATCACCTCCATAATCGAGAAACATCTCCTTATTTCTCTAAGGATAATTTTGACCAATGTCCAGTGATCTACTTCTAGATCACTATTGTACTCCCTTGCCGAATTTAGAGCAAGGTATACAATAGGTCTGGTACATAGCATACTTTATAGAACCTATGACTGAGGCATAGGGAATGACTTTCATTCTCTTTTCTATTTTCTGTCGTGGTCGGGATTTGAGTCTTACAATTTCACACCTTTGCAACACAGGCAAGAACTCTTTCTTTGACTGTTCCATTTTGAACTATTTCAAAATCTTGACAAGGTATGTACTTATTGAAAAACTTATCAAGCGTTTTGATCTATCTCAATAGATCTTGATGCTCAATACGTAAGTAGCTTTACTGAGGTCTTTCTTTTAAAGAACTCCTTCCAAATACTCCTTTATGCTTTCCAGAAAAATTCTACATCATTTCTCATCAACAATATGTTACTCACATATATTTATCAGAAAGGCGGTAGTGCTTCCACTCACTTTATTGTAAATACAGGCTTCATCGTAAGTCTGTATAGAACTATATGCTTTGATAAACTTATCAAAGCGTATATTCCAACTCTGAGATGCTTGCACCAGTCCATAGATGGATCGCTGGAGCTTGCACATTTTGTTAGCACCTTTAGGATTGACAAAACTTTCTGGTTGCATCATATACAACTCTTCTTTAAGAAAACCATTAAGGAATGCAGTTTTTACATCCATTTGCCAGATTTCATAAAATGTGGCAATTGCTAACATGATTCGGACAGACTTAAGCATCGCTACAGTTGAGAAAATCTCATTGTAGTCAACACCTTGAACTTGTCGAAAAACCTTTCACAACAAGTCGAGCTTTGTAGATTGTAACACTACTATCAGTGTCTGTCTTTCTCTTGAAGATCCATTTATTTTCTATGGCTTGCCGATCATCGGGCAACTCCACCAAAGTCCACACTTTGTTTTCATACATGGATCCCATCCCAGATTTCATGGCCTCAAGCCATTTCGCGGAATCTGGGCTCATCATCGCTTCCTCATAGTTCGTAGGTTCATCATGGTCTAGTAACATGACTTCCAGAACATGATTACCGTACCACTCTGGTGCGGATCTTTACTCTGGAAGACCTACGAGGTTTGGTAGCAACTTGATTTGAAGTTTCATGATCATCATCATTAGCTTCCTCACTAATTGGTGTAGGAATCACTGGAACTGATTTCTGTGATGAACTACTTTCCAATAAGAGAGAAGGTACAATTACCTCATCAAGTTCTACTTTCCTCCCACTCACTTCTTTTGAGAGAAACTTCTTCTCTAGAAAGGATCCATCTTAGCAACGAATAACTTGCCTTAGGATCTGTGATAGAAGGTGTACCCAATAGTTACCTTTGGGTATTCTATGAAGACGCACTTCTCCGATTTGGGTTCGAGCTTATCAGGTTGAAAATTTTTCACATAAGCATCGCATCCCCAAACTTTAAGAAATGACAACTTTGGTTTCTTGCCAAACCACAGTCCATAAGGC